TAGAGATACAACTATATCTTGGCGTTCTATGAAGTAAACTATAGCTGCCACATATTCAAATCATATAGAAATATCAATTCACGAGACAAGTTGAGAATATGTACGGCTAAGATTAACGATCCATCGTATTCGAGAGACATGCAATTTATCTATTAGCAAAAGAAGTTCGAACAATATCATATGAGGATAATGTTGCTTAGATAATTCCATTGAAAGAAGAATACATCAAAGTGACAATCCAGCAGATTTATTCGCTAGAGCATTACCTATCACAACTTTTGAGAAGATGATTCACAAGATTGGAATGCGTCATCTTAGAGATCTTAAATAATGCCTTCAACGGGGAGACCAAAATGGAGATTAATGTATGCAAGAAATATTATACTCTTTTTCCTTCACTATGATTTTTTCCCATTGAGTTTTTTCTTAGTAAGGTTTTAACGAGGCATATTCCTTGTATAATGGACATTCGAGGAGGAGTGTTATGAAATAATGAATATTCATCATCATATTCATCCACTTTTCATATCCCTACTACTCATGATTATTAACATGATTCAATTCATCATTCAATATGAGAAATTGAAAGGGTGATACAATTGATTATTAATAGTCCTTTCCAATTCTCTCTTTAATTTTAAAACTTATAAATAGGCTTGATTGTTCATTAGTTGATGTATAAGTTTTCTAGAGAGAATAAGAGAAACTTTGAAGTTCTTATCACTTATATCCATATTATAGTGATTTCATTTTCTTGTCATCCTTTCATTCAATTCTCCTATTATTTTTATTTATTTTATAACAATTTTTTATTTTTTTATTTACAAATTGATTCTTATTTGAAATTTTTTTGTCCTTGTACTTTATAAATTTTATAATTTAGTTCTTGTGATAAAAAAAATTTTGTAATTAAATCTCCGTAGGGTTATGGATGTTTGATAAAACTGAAAATTAAGTGCTTGAATCTATTAAGTATTGAATTTTAAGTACGACTATGTTCCGACAAGTTGTTTGATATTTAGTAAAAATTAAGTGTTGAATAAAATAAGCTTGTTTGATAAGTACTTGTTGCTTGAACATATTAAGGCTATATATATGACAATTTTAACTTTGTAATTATAACTTGATATTTTTAATACAAATAAAAATATATACATATATGTGTTTATGTGTACAAATAAATAAATAAAAATTCAATAAAAATAATTATTAATAAAAAATTAAATATGACCTAAGATAATATTAATTATCGTATCATGTATAAAATAAAACATAATGATAGAGATTGTTTTTACGGTGATTTATGATGCTTTTGAATGGATGGTGATTTCGATGCTTTTGATCGGAACATAGGTTTTCTAACATAATGGTGCATGGCAAAACCTCCAAAAATAAAAACATCACTTCCTCAACGGATCTAACTACCAATAAAACAAAGTCGAATAACGGATCAACCATCAAGATCAACTCTTATCACACTTTTAAAAGTCAAAATACCAAGCACCTCGTTGCCAATAATGGCCTAATGGGTATCAATTCCTTTTAAATTTGTCAAGCCCATCATCACTTATTAAGCCCTAGACTTCTCAAAAAAAGAAACCCGGATACAAAACTTAAGTTTATCATGACAAAATTGGATGATCCTGTCGGCGTTGCAAGCTGCAGATGTAGGACCCAAATACAAAAGGAGAGAGTAAACAATAATAATTTTCTTTCTTTATTGAAAAAGAAGAAGAAGAAGAACATGGCACTCTATTCAACATTTGTTTTTGTTGTGCCTTTATGACATGCATCAAAGATCCTATACACCCAATCATGGTAAGAATAAGGCGACCAAATCCTCCTTGCAATGGATTTGAAATAAGCAATTTATATCCATATATACCTAAATCCTTTTATCTTTTTTTTTATTATTATACAACAAAATAAAGTGATGTTTTCAAAATTCGGGATAAAAACACCAATAATAGATAAGGTTTCTTCGTTTTAACAATGAAAATAGTAGAAAATATTTTTTAGTTAGTTTATATAGCTAAAATTATAGTAATATATAAAGGCGATATAGTCATATTTGAAAAGTTTTAAAAATTTATCAATTAAGCGTATTAATCAAAAAGTAATAAGTTAAAAACTTTAACTTATCCGATTAAGTAAATTTTGAGTGAACTTAAATTTTTAATATGAAATTATTTAGGTTATCAAATAAACTTTTTATATTAAGTACTATAACTTAATTTTTTAAGTTACTTAAATAGGTTATCAAACATCCTTTTAGTTTTCATCATGTGTGGTGCATTATTTAGTTTTTTTCTTTTTTCCTTTTTTAATGGTTGTAATGTAACAAGTCATTATAATTCTAATGGTCGATTACATTGTAATTTTAAAAATTATACAATCAAACGTAAAAATTTAATAAACTTTTAAAGTATATCACTATCGGAAAAATACCGATTAGCGACGAAAATTAGTGACGATTTTAATCCATCGCTATTTAGCGATAAATTAGCGACAAATTAGAGACGGACTATAAAAGGTTGTGTTTTACGATGGATTAACGACGATAAAAAATCCGTCACTAAATAATGCGAGGAAAACAATCGTCAAAATGAACGATGAATTAGTGATGATTTTATGGTCTCTAAATGGAAAAATTAGCGAGGAAATCTTTTTTTGGTTAAAATTTTTGAAGTTTAGTGAAGTTAATGACGGATTTTAAATCCATCGCTAAAATTAGTGACGGACTTCGTTAATTTGTGCCTTTTTTTGGGGAAAAAATCCCCTAAAATGGCCCAAAGTTAGCGACGGACTTTGAAATCCATCACTAATTTGTGCCTTTTGGGAGAAAATTCCTCCAAAATGGTCTAAATTTAGCGACGAGACTTGCTAATTAGTGACGGACATCAAGTTCATTGCTAATTTGAGCCTTTTTGGGGAGAAATTCCCCCAAAATGGCTCAAATTTAGCGATGAATTTTGGAATCCTTTGCTAAAATTAGGGATGGACTTCAAGTCCGTCGCTAATTTGTGCCTTTTGAGGGAAAATTCTCTCAAAATTAGTGATGGATTCCAAAATCTGTCGCTAAAATTAGCGAAGGACATCAAGTCCGTCACTAATTTGAGCATTTTTTTAAGGGAAATTAACCAAAAATGGTCCAAAGTTAGCGACGAATTTTGAAATTCGTCCTTAAAATTAGTGACGGGACTTCAAGTCCGTCACTAATTAGTGACAGAACATTATGTCCGTCACTAATTTGAGCCTTTTTGGGGGAAATTCCCCAAAATGGCCCAAAGTTAGTGACGATTTTGGAATCTATCACTAAAATTAGCAACGGATTTTGGAATCCGTCACTAAAATTAGCAACAAATTTTGGAATCTGTCGTTAAAATTAGCGACGGACATCAAGTCCGTTGCTAATTTGTGCCTTTTTGGAGGAAAATTCTCCCAAAATGGCCCAAAGTTAGCGACGGATTCCAACATCCGTCGCTAAAATTAGTAACTTTGGAGAAAAATTTTCCCCCAAAATCTCGATCGAGTAGCGACGGATGCCAAATCCGTCGCTATCTCATCGACATTTAGCGACGGATGTCAAACTTCCCCCTAAATTAACGACGGACCGGTAATCCATCGTCAATCGGCGACGGATTAGCGATGAAATTGGGTCTTTCGTTATTTTTCTTTTATATATACCCCTTCTTCTTCTTCTCCATTTGCTTCTCTCACCTCCACCATACCTCTTCTTCGCCGCCGCCTACAAAAACGCTCACCCACACCACCCCACGCCACTAAATCTTTTTCAAAGCTCGTTCAACAAAGTAAGAGGTATCTTTCTCCCTCAAAATCGGATCGGATCCGTGTTCTCTATCCTTGATCTATCGAGTAAAACTTTCTCTCTCTAACTCTTATTTTTTTTAATTACATAATTGCTATAAATTTTTAGTTAAATTTGTTAGTTTATTAATTCTTTGAATGTTGTTAATTATCTTGTTATGTTAATTTTTTGTTATGCTAAGTTATATGTAGTAGTTTAAATTTGTTAGTTGTTATTTTATGTTTATAACTATTAGATTAACTTAATTTTGTTAATTTTTATTTTGTTGTTATGTTAATTCTTAGGTTAATTTGTATGTTAACGTAAACCTTAAAAATTTAAATTTTGTTAATTTTAGTTGTTAGATTAAAATTTAATTATTTAATCTTAAATTGTTATTTTAGTTAAGCGAATTTTATATATATATATATTAGTGTTAGGTTAATTTGGTTAGTTGTTTGTTTAAACTTAATTTTGAAATTATATAATTTTTTATGTAGTTTAGTTAAATTTGGTTGAAATTATATAATTTTTGACATAGTGTAGTAATTTCGAATGTAAATTTTATAAGTAATTTTATTGGTTTAATTATTAAAATTGAAATAAGATAACATGCATAATTATTTTATCATTCCTTCCACTCGGCTTCCAATTCAGCCTCCGGTCGAGCCCTCTATACGGTATGAAGATGAGGATATGGAATTAGACGAGCATGATTAGTGATATAATATTCAATCACTTTGTTTGTTTTGTTGTTTTTTATGAAACGTATTCTAGAATGATTTTATTAATATTATTTTATTTTCATATATACATGATTACTTATAATTGTTTATTATTAAATATTAATTATTAAATTTCATATTAATAATGCCACACAAATTCACTAGTGATAAATTGGGATGATGATTAAGGACCACACAAATTCATTGATGATAATTTAATCCGAATTCGATAGATATAGTTTTTGGTAGATAGTTATTATTTTGAATTGGGTATTGATATCCAAAATTTTTATGTGGTTGATAATAAATGATATATAAATACTATAAAATCTGACATGAATCAGATTTAAAATTCATATAATACTATATATACACATATTATCCTTTTATTTTACGTTGAATAATCAATGCACTTGGATAAACAATATATACTGAAACTAATCAGGAACTATACATTGTCCCCCACCATGACCAAGTCCTGCACAAAAGTCTGTGTTACAGGAGGCTCTGGATATGTCGGCTCCTGGCTCGTCAAGAACCTGTTAGAGAAAGGCTACACTATCCATGCAACATTGAGAAACTTGGGTCTCTCTCTCTCTCCCTCTCTCTTTGCTTTTCTTTTTATGTGTAAGCATAGATGTCTTACATAATTAATTTCTTTGACTAGCAGAGGACAAATCCAAAGTAGGCTTACTCAAGTCCCTACCAAACGCAGACACCAATTTAGTACTGTTCCAAGCTGATATATACAATCCCGATGAGTTTGATGACGCAATTCAAGGGTGTGAATTTGTTTTTCATGTTGCCACTCCAATGCAACATTACCCCGAAAGCTCTCAGGTATGCCCTCGATCTCTTGATTAACTTGTAGTTATATTTAAGTATTATGAGCAGTTAACACATAATTTTTAAGTTGAAAAACAGTACAAGGATGTAGTGGAAGCAGCCGTTGCTGGAGTGAGGAGCATAGCTAATTCTTGCATCAAATCAAAAACTGTTAAGCGTCTCATCTACACTGCATCTGTGATGGCATCATCTCCATTATATGAAGATGGAAGTGGCTTTAAATCTTGTATCGATGAATCCTGTTGGACTCCTTCTAATCTCTCACTTACTTATGCCGATGATTTTGTACTGGTGTTTCCCCTTACTTACTCTGAATTATCACACTTTATAACACTGGTTCTTTTTTAGCCTTCCCTGAAGGGATATGGCATGGTACTTTCTTTTCAAAAATCACAAGCAACTTTGAAATCTTACTGGCTCTTTTTTTTTTTTTTGTTCCTCCTTTTCCAATAGGAATATACAAGAGCAAAAACATTAGCAGAGAAAGAGGTTTTGAGTTATAATGAAATTGGGGATGCTAAACTTGAAGTGGTGACTCTTGTTTGTGGTCTAGTGGGAGGAGAGACTATTCTTTCCCATCTGCCGTTGAGTGTGCAAGTGGTTCTTTCACCAATTTCAGGCAACTTATTTGGGTACTATCAAGGGTTGAAGTTTATGGAAGAAGTTTTGGGTTCAGTACCCCTTGTTCACATTGATGATGTTTGTGAAGCACATATATTTTGCATGGGAAAAGCATCAATGAAAGGAAGATTCCTCTGTTCAGCTGCTGATCCCATTGTCCGGGAAATTAAAGCTTACCTTGAACAAAATCATCCAGAATTCGAGATAGATGAAAAGTAAGAATTCTACATCCCTTTTCTGTTTTAATTTCCTGTGCTTAAATTAATTAAGCGTACCTCTAAACCATCCCCCTTTTTTATAGATTGTATTTGATTGGATTCTGCTTAGGATCGACTTGTTATTTCCAGAGAATCATCGGGAAAATCATGGATGAGTTGTTGAAAATTGTTAAGAGGGGTTCAGTATATAATTTAATTTCTGGCTAAGACAAGAAAACGTGCATTCCATATTTTCTACTGTGAATTTGCTAATGTATAGTAATGATTAAATTTTACTTTTAGATTCAGAGAAGAACCAGAGGTCAGAAGAATCAAATGCGATTCATCAAAGCTGAAGAAGATGGGCTTTGAGTACAAATATGACATGGGGAAGATCATTGATGAGAGCATTGAATGTGGAAAGAGGGTGGGGGATCACTAGTTGGTTCATCAAATTGAGAACTCAAGCACATTATAAAATTGTGTATCGTTTCCTTTATTGAGTTTTTTTTTTTTTTTTTATAAATTCTCGTTGGGGGCTATTATGTTATCTTTTGCTGGAAATGTTATAAATCAAATATTTAAAAAAAAAAAAAAAGGATTTGTAACCTTTTTCCTTGTTCGATCAATCTTGGAATTTATTGTTTTTCTCTTTTATTGATTTAGTGGTTCGGTTTGGAAACAGTGACAAGCTAGACTACGAGAGTTGTTTGTCCAATTGTACTCCTCTCCCACCCCTAGGCCCTACCCTACTACTAAAAAAGAAAGTATTCGATCAATTTCTTTTGCTAATTTGCGACTTCTTTTCCTCAACTGATGGCACATACAGATTCCTCAATTGTCCTTTTTTTATTTGTGAGTGGAGATGCAGATACGCAATATTTTTTACGAAAGTGCCAATTTAAGTATTTGATTTTTCTTTTTTTATTACTTTTGTTTGTTTTTTCTTCTCACCTAAAATGTATTTATTTTATTGTAACATTTTTGCCATCAAACATTTTCAATAGCATATAATTCCAAATAATTCTTTTCTGCAACAATCTGATGTATCTTTAACAAAATGAAAAGCTAGCAGCCAGTGGTAAAAACCAACAATAATTTCAAATCATTAGGGTTTTGTTTTTTTTTTTTTTAATCTTATCCTGAGCATGATCAAGGCATGAGATTTTGAAGATATAATATTCATTAGATAATTCATCAATAAATATCTCTTCTATGAAGAATCACAATTTTCCAGATCTGACCGAATTAAAATTTGCTACTTACAATTTTTTTCGTCAGCAAAAGTTTGAGGGAATTTGAAGTCCGATTTAGCCATGTACTGATGGTGTTTATCATGTTTTGCATCAGAAATACTATCATAGCTTTTTCTGAACATTTCCATGTGGCATGGTGCGCACACCATCCTGTTTTCTTTTCTTCTTCTATCTGCTTTTTGCGTCACATTTGATATCCAAGTTGTAATAACCTCGAATGGCTAGTACAGGTGGTAAATAACTTAACTTAAAATATAGAGAGATTTTGGGCTTAATTTTTATTTTTAAATAGTTTGTATAAATAATTTTCATAATAAACTATCAGTCGTAGAGTCTTTTCCTAAAAAAAAACCACTAAAAAACCAGTGTGATCTAAGGAAATAAGTCTAAAGTTGGAGGACTAATTGTGAAGGCCCAAATGAGCCCAAATAATCCCGCATATATCCCATTACTTGTAAATTAATAATAATAATAATAAAATCATGCATCATCTATCTTGAGGAACAAGAGCTAATCTTTGTTGAATGTTCCGGAAATATCAAATTAGTTGCGGGTCTCATCATCTGTAATAAGAAACAAGAGCCAACCATTGATATCATGTTTGAACTTCGAACTTTAGAAGTGGTAAAATGAAGATGCTGTAAACTAGTTTGATTATGTGTACCTCGAGTCCAACTAGAATAATTTGGAAGGATTCAAAATAGAGAAAAAGGCATTTCTAACTTTTGGAAATGACAAAAGATTATGGAAAGATAGGACTTGTGCACCGTTGTTCAATCTTTGTCCGTTTCATTGAGCTCTTAAAACAAAGATAGAAGTTTGGTATCATTGCGAGGATGAGAAAGCGTGCATCACTAACATTTCAATCAAAGTAGCAAAAAGCCAAAATTTCTACCAGGTATACAATTTTTTTTTTATTATTATTTTAAAAAAGAAACTTAAACCTAGAAGCTTGATTTATGTGGTAACATGGAAGATGCAAAATAGGCTTTATTCCAGGCCCAATCCCCTTGCAATGACTCCTAGGAGAAGAAGAAGTGGTTCATGACACTTTTTTAAAAAAAATATTAAAAAAAAGGTTCATGACACTTTAGGAGGCCCAACAGGGCCTGAAAAGTCCATTATGGTTGCAAGAATCTATCGGTTCACCTCTGTCTCTGACTCCTAATCCACAACATCAGAAGCTAGAACACCTCTTCTTCTTGACATGACGATCAGTTGTTTGCATCCTGTTTTAAAAGTACCCAGTTCACTAATTCCTGTTTCCTACGTGGCTGCTTCTTCTTTGTTGCAAAATCTTCCAAAAGACCCATGTAGAATATACTTCATCAAAAAGACAAGACTTGGTGGTTGTAAGAGGAGAGAGGGGGTTATTTGTGGCGCTGGTTTGATGTTTCCAGTTGATCCATGGGCACCCAACATTGATTCACAGAGCATTGCCTCTCAGCTTTTTGCTTTCTCTTTGTTTCCTTACCTTGGATTCTTATACTTCATTACCAAATCCAAGTCTGCTCCTAAGCTCACCCTCTTTGGTTTCTACTTCTTGCTTGCCTTTGTTGGGGCTACAAGTGAGTTTCCTTTGTCATATTTTTGTGTATGAGTTGCAAATTTTGATTCTGCTATTTTTTATGCTTGAAGTTTCTGAAATTTAACAGTATGGTGAATTTTGAAGTTTTAGACTTTTAATTATATTGGTGGATTAAATGTAGAAATTAGTAAAAGTGGAACTGATTAGAAATTCTTGTGAATGGGGGGATAAGGGAAATAGCCAAAGAGGTTCCCTTAAAAATGAAGAATTATTTCATGTAATTGGCATTGTATTAGTATCATTGATGAGATATTATGCTGTATGGTAGGATTACAACTTGAAAATAAACTCAATTTGTTGATGTATAATTTTGGTGGAGTTTTAACACACTCTTCCATTCTGCATGAAATTTGGCTTCGTTAAAGTTTAATTCTTGATCTGCCTTTGCTTGGGATGTTATTGTTGCCAACAGCTTTGCTTTAACTATACTGACTTTCTTCCCAATGGTTCTTTGGTTTCTCCACTTCTGTTGAGCAGTCCCAGCAGGAATTTATGGTAACTTCTCCTATTGAATAGAATGTAACTTGAAGATTGACCAGCTTTATATTGATGCCTAAGTCCTAACTTTATATTGCGACTTGATGTTTTCTTGGTTGCGGCAGCAAAGGTGCATTATGGTACTTCCTTGTCTAATGTGGATTGGCTGCATGGCGGGGCTGAGTCACTTCTCACCCTAACCAACTTATTCATTGTCTTGGGACTAAGACAAGCTCTTAAGAATGCAAGAGATCCCAAAAAAAGTTCATCAGATTCTGTTCCAGCAATCGAAGAGGAAAAGAAGTCTTCTGTTTAGGTACTTTACATAATTTTATTCAAGCACGATATCTCCTTCTTTATGTGGCAAACAGGGCTTAGTGCTCTTTCTCCGTTTCCATTTTTTGACAGAGAACGGTCTAGACTTTCTGCAGTCCCTGTTACTTCTGCTCAACCAAGCGTACCTATGCATTAAGTCTGCATTTCCAACTGAGTAATTCAGATAATGATTCATTTTCAAAACTCTTATATAAGGAATCACAAGTATCCAACTTAGTGTTTAGTAAATTGTTTATATTTCTAAGGGTACGATCTTGATCTGTGGTTTATTTTCTTCAGAATCTTCATCAGTTTGTGTGATTTCCTAAGAATGGCAATGTTTTTGTGAGCTATTATGTAAAATAGACATGTAATAGATCATATGCAACAAGAGTGATATATACATTTTACCATGCTGTCTCTTCATGATTATTAAATTTATTCTCTTTCACGATAATTCTGAAGTATTTACCTTCTTTCTTTGCTTTAATCTCTTTTTCTTCTTTTGTCGTGGCCTCTCATCTGCTGCTGAATTATCTTCCGTGGTTGTAAGCAGATGCTATGTTACTGGAAATTGTTATTTAATAGCAATACAATCACTGATGTTATTTATAGGAAACTTCAAAATTTTGCAATGCTGTCATAGCTAATCCTATTTTACATGCATCCTCTCCTCATTTATAATACAAGCTAGGTTCTACAGGCACACCCAGCGAGTGTGTTGAATTGCACACAAATGCGACACTTTCTCACTTCTTGTTTCCAGTTTCTGGATGAAATTATGAGAAAAATCCTGGTGTGTCAAATGGAAAGTTGGGATCCAATTCCACTTGATCAAGTGAGAAATCCAAATCCACAATCGGAGAGTTGGTGGCTGACGTGTTGGCTGAAATTATGTCATTGAAATCCGATTCCAAATGTTGCAAATTTTGAACTCCTACAAAATTGTTCATCTGGAATGGTGAAACTGAGTAGTGAGTTGCTTCGGGTGTGGCTGGAGATATAAACGATGGAGAATAACTGCTCAAGCTCTTTGTGCATCCATATGTAGAAGGAAAAGAGAAGGGAGAGGCCATCTCTTTATTGTCCAAGTCCTCAGTATTAACCCTTAGGCTATTTTGGAAGTTAAAGAGGGCTTGCTGTGATTGCTGTTGTTGTTGATAGTTGTTATTTGTTATCCTTTGTTTCTTCTCTTGTTTTTCTGGGGACGATGGTGATGGAACTGATTGGTTTCCAAGAGCGCAGGTGTGCGTTCCTCGGTATGTGATCTCAAAAATGGTGGGATCTTCATCAGATCTCTGCACTTGCTTTGTAGCCCAGCAGTTCTGAGTATTTCTGTAGGTGCACCTGTAATAGCTTCTGCACACGTAACAATCTCTTCTTAGATTTCTAAACTTTATATATGGCAAGGTGAAGCGTCTGTTGAAAAATATGACTTTAAAAAAAATTAAGTTTGAAGTGTTTGATTGGTGACACATTTTCAATGTTAATATGACCCTTGCTGTGAAAAACTGGCGACACAAGTCAGTTTCAAGTTCTTTTACATGTGCTCTTAATTACTGTTAGACAGAAAAGTTGCAAGTCATAAGTGGGTGGCATTTGTGACTTTCCGAGAAAGAAAAGAGGAAGGACTTATCACCTGGGATATTTTGCTCCTAGGATATCTTTTTGCCCATATTTTCTCCAGCTATAGCCATCATCATGAGGACCCTCTAGTCCGTTCTCAGGACTGACTCTGACCTGATCTGTCCATCTGGGAGTGGTCTTTCTGCAACCCAAATCAGAAAAATTTTACAAGAAGCATTAGTACTACTGAAATGACCATAATCTTGTAGCAATATACAAGAGTTATGACAGTAGACCACATATTCACCTCTTCTTTGAGGCCTCATTATAACCCTGATTATCCTTAACATTCCCATCAAAATCATCGCTTCGAGGGCTTCCATTGATGGATATGGGGGACTCTGGAACACCAGCAGAGACTCCAACATTTTGTGGCTGTCCCATTGATCCACCCCAGTTGAGAATCAAGAGAGCCTTCTCATAAGAAGATAGGATCCTCCGTACTAACATGTCCCTAGTTTCAACCGATGATGTTGCATTCAAATGAGCCCTTAATTGTTTTGTTAGTTCCATCCCTTGGAGTAGCTCAGTAATCAATGTCTTTTGCTCCCAGCTCCAACCACTCTCCATTTTGCTCACCTCCCTTAAAAGTTACAACGAGCAATACAATTAGGCTTCTTGCAAGCTCTAAAATGCTAGAACTTCATGTCCAACAAAACGACATTAGATCATTTTCTACACTCGGAACACTTGGTTGCTTAGAAGCAAAAACTTTCCACTTGGCAGGAAAAGTAGGAGCCAAAAAGTTTGGAATGACCAATATGGTAAAGAGTTGGAAGCTAGTAACATAGAAGTAGCCAGAACTAGAATTGAATTTTCTTTGTTTATAGGTAAGCTGGAGGTATATGGAATGTTGGAATTGGAAGAGATTGAGGATATATTTAGATGAGGGAAGCTTTAGCTGAGGAAGCAAAGAGAGAGAAGCTTTGTATTTAAAGAAGAAAGTGAAGGTTTGGAATTTAAAGGAGGATGAGAAAGCCTGAATGAAGAGAGAGGTATATATATTGGAAGGTAGAAAGTTCGAAGTTTGACTGAGAAAACGAGTTTTTCAGCCTTGGACTAGTCTTTGGTCATATGAGAAAATAGAAGAAAGAGAGAGTGTGTAAAATAGTATGTGGAGGTCCAAGTGCTGACCAATTCTACCCTTCAAACACTTCAAAGAAAAGGGTCTCTTTGCTTTCTCTTTTGGAGATGAATGAATGATTGAAGTGTAGACTCAGGTTAGAAACTAGAAAGTCAAAGTTGAAGCTTGAGTGGACCAAGAATTTTCAACCTCATTCCGCGTTACTGGTTTAATATTAGGAACTCTTAAGTACTATAGACCTCACCTGCTCTTTATATTCTCTCCCAAATTAACATTTAAGTTAGTTTTTAGTTGTTGGTTTAGGTAGTAAGTTAATTTCTTCTCCATATCGTTCTAATCCGAGGGGTTGGGGAAAGGGGGAAAAAATCCTGATGTGAATGGCTTAAAATCTAATTTCAAAAAGAATTTAATCTCAATATACATAAACTTAATGAAAATATCATAACTATCCAAAATTAAAAGAAGTATCAATTTCTCTCCTGTACATCTGTAATTCCTACGACCGCGTTTTTGGTGAAAAAAAAATTAAAAAAAGAACAGTGAAATTATGTGGTGCAAGGATTCCATGGTCCCAAGATGTTTCCTAGTTGCGAAGAAGATGAAGATATCAGCGTCGTGAGAGGCACATAAGTCATGTTTAGTTTCCTCGAAAAATAGTGTGAAGAACTGCTTAAAAGGAGGCAACAATTTACTGGCCATTTATTATTTTGGATAAGGACAGGGAGCCATAAGCTTGCATGCCCACTTAGTGGAATCATTGACATGTGGTCATTATTTATTGCACTAGGTACTTGACTCCAACATTTTGAGTCTGGACTTGGGCCATTGATGAATCACTGAAGCCTTGTCCAAGGCATAGTGGATAGCGGCCTAACTATAGACCTGTTCGCATGGTTTGGGCCATTATTTAGAAATTTGATGCTAGGCTATGTGAGTGGATTTCATCGAAATTCATCCTGAATTATATGATATGATAAGTGTCACCCATATATATTACAGTACACCAAATTTGTTTGATTGGATACAATACTGTCATATGGACATTGACATTAACCATAACGTGGATGTGGAATTTATTCATCGAGTAATGGCCTAAAAAGTAGCAATATTTTAACTTCTTTTTTTTTTCCACACACAGAATATGTGCTAATTGCGTGTCTCAAGTCCGTAATGCAAAAGCAGATTCAAAGCAGCATTAAAGCGATAGAACCCCACTTACTCCATGTCTATATATACGTACGTGCTTCGGAATTGCCTTCTAGCAGCAAGCAAACACAAGATAGTCTTAACAGAAGTCCTAGTCTAAGACCTTCCTTTTCGCTCAAGCTGAAATGGCCTCAATCCAGTGCTGCAAACCTGTTGAGAAACCATGCAACCAAGGCCAGCAAAACCACTCATTGAGCCAAAAGGTGTCTGATCTGGCTAGCCGGGCTCTCAAAAGAGAAGATGCCCCCAGCGGACAGACAACGGCCAAGAGCCAGACCCAATGCCACGGCCAAAAACAGGCCGAAGGCGGAGGCTTCAAGACGACCGGGACTCACTGCTCAACCCAAACCCAGTCCCATGGCCCAAATGGGAAGTGTTTCGGTGGAACTACTAATGGCATGACCCCGGGATGCGATGCAAAGACAAACAGGAGAAGTGAGCGCAAGAAGAAGAGTCTGCTCCAAAGGATCAAGGATGGCATTTCAGGCCATAGCGATGGCAGCAGCAGCGAGAGCGAGAGCGATAGCGATGATAAGAAATGTGGTAAAAGAAAGGCAAGTATTCCTATTTTCATATTGGAGTTAATAAGTGTCTACACACACAATATTTTTTATATGGACACCTTTACATTGCTCCATCGAGTCCCCATTGACTTGTTAACTTTTATTCGCACTTTGTAGAATTGAAGGCCAGCTACGGGAAACCAAATCAAATGTTGATGGTTTCCCCAGATAAATGAAGATGCCAAATGGGACATGCATGGTTATCATTACTTCAGCAGAGAATAATCATATGGTGTAATCTTATGTTTATTACTTAAGAATAAAAGGACAGATCTTAAATAAATATGTGGGATTGCTTTCATGATTATGTTAGTGCTTCGTGATCAGAAAAAATATATTAAATCCGTACTCACTGAGACACCATTGGCATAAAAATGAAATCAGGCATACAGTTTTTAAATTAATTGATACCGAACAAGAAATTCGGCAACAAGTTAAGGACAACCACTAGGTGGCTAGAAGTTTTAACCAGCAAATGATATCCCTTCTTTTTTTTTTTTTTTTCCTCAGCAGAGGGTAGAGAAGCCCGTTTTCGTAAAATTTTGGCCTTATTTAATGTAGCTTAAAGTTTACCCTCTAGCATGTATATATATACACACACAAAAGATATAAAGATGCTTGTATAATATTTGACAAATATGTTAAGAAGATTGATGGAATTAGTGACACTCCTACTGTATAGTTAAGATGTAATATTATTTCGATGATATTATCTTATAAATGGAATAAGAGATGCTTCAATTATTTAATTAAGGTACAATAGTGTTGTAATGACATTTTTTTTTAAGAAGACAATTGGTGATAATTTGAGAAATTCAAATCTCTAGTTAAATATTAGCATTTCTATTGTATAGATAAGATAAATTGATATCAAATTTATATGAGAAACAAGAAATTAAAATATATCCCTATTCACGTTAATGTGATCATATTTAATACTTTTTTATTGTATTAAAAAATACAATAATACCATCATGTTTTAACATGAAGATGATGATGTGAAAAGTAAATAATAGAATGATTACCATTAGTTGGTGTATGTGTGGTGAGCTTAAATTAACTAAAAGCCCAAGTCAATAAAAAAGCAAGTGAATTTTCATAACGGTAAAAACAGTTTTATAATGGTCAGAAATAATTATTTTTTATCACCTATAAATAAGACTCTTTTATTGTTATTTGGATATAACAACAAATCATTTTGCACTTCATAGTGAACAAGAAAAATATACATCCTCTTATTTTTGTCTTCTCTAGTCTACTATTGGAAAAACCATATTGTTTTAATTGTTCTTCTCTTTACATTTTCGGATAAAATAGGTATTAAATTTATAGTGTGCAAACTTATTAAAACACTACAATGTAATTGAACTTGTTGTATCTCTAAGACGACACATAATATATACTTGATATGTTGTATCGGATAAATTCTATAGATGATATATATCTTCTTAAGAAAGTAATCTTATTGTACCTCGAGATAGTCTCCTAAATTTTTTTTGATAAAACTATTTGATGGTTGGGTCATCTTTATATCACAAAACATGATAATGTGATTTTGATCTCTAATTTTTCTAATGATCAAAGTAAAAAGTTTCAATTTTTATGTTCATCTTAATATATGATGAATTTATTTAATTAATTATGTGAATTTATATTGATTAATTATGTTCTTTTTTTATGTGCTAGGAAAACATTGCCTTTTTGTGATGTTGTCATCAAATAACATTTAAGATCTATGCAAATAATCACGTTTCAGATAATGTCAAAATTATTCTATACTCAAGCTACTATTTAATTCATATGGGATTTCAAATTTTTTAATATATAATTCTTGTTCAAGATTTGAATTGAAAATTGAATAAAAAATGTAAATATGACATGTTATTAGGAGAGTGTATGAGAGACAGTAATAGTGATGGTTGATTTTTTTTAATAAAATCATTTTATTAGCTTAATGAAAAAGTTAATTTTTTTATTTATTTCCTTAAAAAATATCTTCTAAATGATTTTTTTCTTCATCCTCACCTTTTGGTTTATATTTTTATATTTCATAAACTTTGAAATGAAATGAAAATTTACATAGAATTGAGCAAAAATAAAAAATAGGAGATTTAATTGAAACAAATAAAAAAATTTGAAAAAACCCATAAATTTCCGGGGTATAAATTGAAATATACTTTCTTCCCCCCCCCCCCCGCCTTCGTACTTGTTCCAAATGTTGCAATTTCGACTTTTCTCATGGGAAAGAAAAGGGTATCGAATCCATACTTATCTCATTGGGCTTAAGGTTCCACGGAAGTCTCCAAAAAGTCAGTATCACACAAAAGCTAGAACTGATACTTCAAACCATAGTTGTCATTTGCAATACAAGAAATTTAGAAAAAAAGTCTGAACGATTAGGTTTGACGGGAGTCGATAAACTGGAGGATCCAATAAAAACCATACCCGGACAAAGTTCCGAATCATCCGGTTTCTAGTTAACCTATCGGGTAAGGTTGAGTTTATCAAACTCAAGTTAACTAGATGGATCTTGGTATCAACTAAAATGTAGCTTCTATTTTGATCTCAAACTACATATCCTGCTGGCTTAGGCCTAGCCCAAGTAAGGGTCCAAATAACCCAGAATCAGTAGAAAGGCCTCTTAACTATTTTATTTCTTCTTTGACATGGAGAAATGAATTATTGTTCCAGAATATCGAGTATATAACCTTTCTGGCGATGGCAGCAGTAGCAGGCTAGCAGCTGAGAGAGAATGGGAGATTGGTGTAACAATAAATAAATCGAAACCTTTAATTATTTTTCCACCGCAGTTGAATTCCACGCTTTTGTTTTACTGTGTAGTTGTTTATAATCAATTAGTTTGAAGTTACAAATAGGTCAGTTTTTATGTTCAAATGGGGGAGTAATAAAATACAGATTAGAAATCTTAATTTGGCTCTAAATAGTAGTAATTAATTAATTAATTAATTTGTTTCTTGAACAAGTTATATGGTGACATTTTTTTGATTCATAATATTCATGTTTTTATTTCCGATTTCCTCTCACTTTTCTTTTTTCTTTTTTCAACATATTGGTACGAGACACGTTTGACATTGCAATGACCCGTTTTTGCGATGCTTTCTCGAAAGCGTTTGCTTGACCGGATACCATGACATCCGGCCAATAACTTGAACGATATCACGAAATTCCAATTATGGTCCAAAAACTTTTTACTGGACATTACCACATTCCAACCTGGGGTTAAATCCTTACGCATTGAAGATAAAGGACACCACCAATTATCAACTGCCAATTGGAGAACTTAGGAGCTTCTCTATCTCCTTTCTTCAGCTGTCAGCTTGCTACCGCATAAAGGCTGAGCCAAGAACTACAAGAGTTGCTTTAGTCATCCAGATTTATCAAGTAGTTCAACACCTCCTGTTAAATGTACAAGGTTAGAAGTGAATTCAGACTACTAACTATATAAAACAAAACCAAACGAATTTAAAAGGGCCACACAATTTGGATTCTCTCGAATTTAAACCATCTTTATATCCTTCTATGTTCTGATTCTCTAAAGGACTTAAACGAAAAAAAAAAAAGTTTAGACGGCACACAATTTGGTTCCCATCAACATTTTTGGTGTAACTTGGATATGGGAGCATCTATTCCCTTCTCAAATCCAATAAAAGGGGCTAACCATATCCGCTCTCTCTATAATGGAGATGTTATGGGTCCATCTTGTAAAAAGCAGATTCAAAGAGTGATAAGCAATCACAAGGAATCCCACTTGCCTCATGACTATTTATACGTTTCTGCAATGACTTGAAGTAACATGCAACAACCAAGAAGAGAAAGAAAACACTCATAGTATCCCATTTAGCCTCGACACCATGGCCTCAGTGCAATGCATAAAACCAGATGAGAAGACAAGCAACCAAGAACAAGAACAAATGATCCATATGCAAACAGAGAAAACCCTTTCCCATGAGAAGGTCGTTTCTGTAAATCAATGCAAGGGCCAAACCAATGGTCAAAACAGCCAATCTCATGTCGGCCAGGCCAAGAACCCTGCACCAGTTGCCATGCCTTGCCATGAAAAGAATGAGAAGAAAATGAAGGACAAAAAGGAGAAGGACAAGAACAAGAAGGAAAATAAGGACAAGAACAAGAAAGAAAAGAAAGAAAAAAAGGACAAGAAGGACAAGAAGGAAAAGAAGTTTGACGACAAGAAGAAAGAAAAGAGTGGGGACAAGAAGAAGAAGAAGAAGCTTGACAGCAGCAGTGACAGTGACTAGAGACGCTGCAAAATGAAGGCAAGAGTTGCTGGTGTCTTATGATGCATTTCTTGCATCTCAGAATAATGGCATCTTAGTAGGGGCCAATTCTAAGAAACTAAAACTATTAATATTGTCAATATTTTCAGCAATCTGAAAACCCTTTTTTTTTTTTTTCTGTTCAATGCATGCAGATCCAGGAGAAGCATTCGGAAGTCAAGTTGAACTTAACACGATAATAAACCAATATATAAATGAAAAAACAAGAACGATATAAAATAAGACCAGCATACTTGACCATCGGCTGGTGAAGACAGGTAGCTTCACTAGCATGGTGTGTCCTATGTATGACTTATGCGTTGTTTGTGTTTTATATCAATTTATAATTCTAAGATAAAATAGGATACAATCTTCAGCTACACATTTATCTCCAGACGCAAGGTTCTCAATCTTAATAGATGGACCAGGGATCAAGATAATAATTTCCATACCATATAGAAATTTGCAGGAAGATGGATCTCTGCTAAAGCGATCCATACCGCCAAGTCTCAAAGGCAAAAAAATAACTAGCAACTGTCAAAATAAAAATTAAGAATCCTACTCAAAATCAATCTAACTTGTAAGTGGAAATTCATGTAATATCATATAAAATTTCCACAAACAAGATCAGAAATTTAGATGCTCACCAAACCATACAGAATTTCCATAATCAAGGCCCTAAAACATCAGATACATTTTGACCAAGTATATACACAGGCAGGTAATCACACCCATTCTTCGGTGATGAAGAATGTGCTGCATTCACCTTCACCACTAAGCCAAAAGGAAATTCCAGGTTAACATGGCATTTTTCACAGAATACTTACATAAGTTAGCTTGATAAAAGAGACAAAAGCAAGAAACTACAGACGTGATTCCAGGCATCCTGCTAGGATGATATATAGGCAAAAGAGAGGGGAAAAACACAAAAGAGAAAGATAAACCATGGAATTCAGCTATAAAAAAAACCACCAATGCAGTAGAACAGTTACTTTCCTTTAAGACACCTTGAAACAAACGATGAAACACCCTGAACAGCAATATCTTCAGCTTGATCTTGGGTTGAACCCTTTATTTGCAAATGCTTCTTGCCAATCTTAAAAGAGTGGTCACCACCATCAATCACGTGCAACTCATTGTGAGATTTCATCTTCTTGCAAACAGCTTCCAGCATTTCAAGGGGGCAAAGCCCATCTTTGTTACCCTTCACACAAATATGCGTAGAGAAAACATAGTGTAAAAAAAAGGCTAACACAAGTGACTTCAAATCAAGCAAGTTTAATTGAGCCGGGAATTTTATGCAGTAAGACAAAATTGTGAAAAACCAGCCATACACAGAAAAAGTTCAGAGAGAGTTAACCAGGTTGAGATGCAAGGTTTAATAATTAAAATTACCATCAGTTGATTCAAACATATAGAGTGATAATTAGATGACAGTAATCTAAGGCATGCACAATTACAATTACCATCAGATGTTTCAAACTGATTTTAAAAGTTATACAATTCAACGTAGTACCTGTACAAACATAACAGGGACAGAAAGCTGGAGTAGAGACTCATCCCGCACAGCTCCATTCATGGACTGAAATATTAAGCAAAAGTCGTGAGAATACACTTCACATTCATGGAGCTCAATGACTCCCAAGGATGTACTGGGAAGTTATTCCCTTGAATTCAATAAAGCTTGTTCAACTGCTTCTACATTTGTAATAGCAGAGATGAAGACCATGAGAATTATGTGTTTTTAAAATAAAATAAAAACATAAAAGGTTATGCTTTTCCAAACCAGAAAGTGGCAGACAATTGAAATCAAAATGACCCAAAAAAAACTCAATCATTGCATTACACAAATGGAATGAAAACAACATTGCAGAGACAATTTGCCAACGAAGTAATAAACTGGCAAGAATGGTAAGTGGTGAACCTTAAGTGGGTATCCCAAGCAAATTACTGCTGAAGCATCTATGTCCACCTCGGCGGCAACCATGCAGCTCACTCTACAGCATACCAAAATAACACACACACACATACAGGTTTATCAGTAAATCTTATAGAAACAAGCACTTGATATGAGTCTTAATATTCAAGTTATGTGGAGATCACAAATAAGAAAAAAGAAAAAAAAACCCAAAACACATCCACAAAAGAAAAAAACACAATACTATTACAGTAGCAATGCAGGATAAGCTCCTAAGCCACTTACAGGGCATATCTATACATTCAAACTCCCATAAATTTATACCTTGAACCCATAGATTTTCCGGCCAAGATAAGAGGATGACCAGGGTACTTATCAGTAGTCCTCTTCACAATATCTTTATGAAACTCCACCAATTTCTCTGCTTTTGGAGGAGCCCTTTTTTTCCCACCAGAAATATCTTTCAAAAAAAAAAAAACTCCATTATTTCAAATGACATGAGCCAGTGGATTTCGACTCCACAAATCCAAGACCATCATTTTTAATACTAGTAATTAACTCACAGGGATAGTCAAATGTAACAACTTCAACAGCATCTAATGCATTCTTTAACATCTCCTTCCATCTGCATTACTTAAAATTTCAAAAATCCCATAATTAATTTCGACATCAAACATTTGCAGAAAAAGGATAAAATGAAAAGAGATAGAACAACCTGATCATCCAATCTGAAGAAGAAGGAGCACCAGCGCCATGAGCAAAGACAACCACAGGCGAGGAAGACGACTTGTGGTTTGTACCTTCACTCTTGTTATTTCGCCTTCTCTTCGTTGGAGGTGAAGAATCCATAAATTTGTGTTCGAGAAATAAAGATTGAAGGTTAAAAAATCTTTCCCCTTTTCGAAACCCTAAAAATCAGAATAGTTCACCGAAACTTGATTTACTTCGCGCCAGTTGTTGAAGAAATATCAGCAAGACATTGAACTTCGCGCCAGTTGTTTGTCGTGCGGGTGGCACGTGCAAGAAGTGAACCTTTATGGGCCTTTTCGGGCTATACATTTTTTGGTTATTGGGCTGTTGTTTTGAGCTCGATTTTTACACATTTAGGTATTTGTTCCTTCTTTAGAGATTAACTACGTGGATACCCACGTTTCGTAACGTTCAGGTAACCGTAACGGAAGCAGAATGGATGAATTGTTTGGTGCAGTGCAATCGAAGGTTTATAAGTTGTAACATGTGTTGGATTGATGAATTGTTTATAGGGATTTTTTATGGTTCGAGAAATTTGTTAATTTTATGCAATATTGATTTGCGATTTTTGGCAGTGAGACGCTAAGGAGGAAATGCAATGTTTGCAATATTATAAAATTATGCATGCATGGACTACAAAGTGTTTTTTGCTGTATCATTATTGGTCTTTCATGGCGTCTAATGATTCATACATTGAATGAGGCTTTTGGAGTGTTTATTCTACTCTATTGATGACCTTGAAGACATGAGTCGCAACGAAATGGTGTTCGGATACATCGTTAGAAGGATTCCATCGAACCTAAAAAATTTTGAGCTTGTTTTTGTCATCCATTAATTGATGTAGCACCATGTTTTTGTTAGCATATCCAAAGTCTGATACTAATTGTCTATTGTGTATCCAAAACATGATTCAATTGTCTTTTCTAGGATAGAAGTATAGCTTCGGATGTGTGATATCAAATGATGCAAGTTATGTTATATTTTTAAAAAATTGGAAAATGATAAATTATAGCTTGAGGCAATGTATAGAAAGCTTGATTTACTTCCATATGTCTATTAAAAAGTCAATGATACAGAGTGTTTTTTTTTTTTTTACAAAGAAAGAAATCAACTAATGATTTTGAGTGTTGCTTACATTAGGATAAGATTCTCACTAAGTATCTCATGGATTACACATGAGTAGTAGTTTGTGTCTTTGTATGTTGGGCGATTGCATAATGAACGACTTGGATACCACCGACCAAAATCTGCATTGATTTGGAACATTCTACTCTCAATTGTGTAACAAATCCGCTATTACAAAAAAATATTGAGTATCATTTATAAGACTATTTTTTATTTTGATAATAAGATGTATATATACATACATAAATATAGAAATATAGACACACGCGTATATAAAAGAGGATGTATACTTTTTTTATTTTTTTTAAGGTGATAGAAAATTTAAAAACTTCAACATTGTCAATCCGTGGTTGGAGCAAGTGCTCAATAGTTGATCCGTTTTCATTTTATTGTCTCTTACTATTCATTGCTGTAAGGGGAAGAGACATAGGATAAAGTGTAAGTGATATGACAGGGAGTGAACACATGTATTATGATGAGACTAAGAAGGAAAAAGAAGTTTTACCTTGAGTGTTTATGCTTGGATTGTCTTGGTTAATTGTTTATGGGAGGAGTAGAGTGATGCGGGGTGTTGGGAGTGAGGTCACTTAATAGTTAACCAAAAAATATATAAAGAGATGCAAGTGAATACATTTTGGAACTTATAATCTTACTTGCAAAACAAAAGAGTTGTAATTTTTTCAAGTCATGTGATTAGAAACATTTGTTGAATCTATAAGTTCACCTAACAATCATTGTATTTGTAATTTTTTAACGAGTTGTATGTGGATACATTTGTGAGATATGTAAATTCACCTAACATACAATGCATATCTATTTTTTAAAAAAAAATTTACAAACTGTAGTTTTTTAAATTATGTAAGTGGATGCCTTTATGAAATTTGTAACCTCACCTAACAAACATTCCTTTACGAAACTTGTAGTTCTCACCTAACAAACATTGTAATTATAATTTTCAAGTCATGAAACTTATAATTTCACCTAAAAAACGCAGCAACTATAATTTTTCAACCATTCAAATGAATTTTTTTTTAGTTCTTAAAAAGTTGAATGGTAGGTCGACTTTCTTCTTAAAAGATTTTCGACAACAAGACCCAAAGAAAAAAATGTGTTCCGTAGGCTTTCTCCGTCAAACATTCCTTTATGAAACTTGTAGTTCTCACCTAACAAACATTGTAATTATAATTTTTAAGTCATGAAACTTGTAATTTCACCTAAAAAATGCAACGAATCGTAATTTTTCAACCATTCGGATGAATTTTTTTTTTTTAGTTGTTAAAAAGTTGAATGGTAGGTCGGCTTTCTTCTTAAAAGATTTTCAACAACAAGAGCAAAAGAAAAAATGGGTTCCGTAGGCTTTCTCTTGTCAAACACAAATTCGAGAAAATCTCAAATTTGTGTGTATTTGTGCTTCACATCCCACATCTCTCTTTTTTTCTATTTGGCAACACATGGACAAATCCGTTTTGCATCTCCGATAAAGAGAAAAAATTAAAATGTTTGATCTATGTATGCATAATTACTCGAAATATGAGAATTTATTGACATTTTCATTGCTTTGATAACTACTTTAACCACCTCAAAACTCTTTATCTATTTTCTCTTGGCCCATTTTGATTTCTTTACCTTGTTACTTTTCTATGTCATTTTCATTTTCTATTGAATTCATGCTATTTCAAATTTTGAAAACAACTTGATTCAACACTTCGCCTTTAAAACCACTAAAGCAAGCATTCCGCATCTCTTAATTTTTTTTTGATATATCTCTTCTATTCTCTATGTCATCATCTCTTTTTCTTTTTCCCACCTCTTCACACAAAATCTAGCCTCGCTAACTCATTTAGAATAATTCAGTTGCATGAACAATTTTTTATATAGTCAATAGGTAGCCGTCAAGATACAAACAAATAAAATAATAAAAGTAAGAGAAAATAGTATCAAGTTCAAGGCAATGTTGTGGTGTCGATTTTAGATGTGTAGAATAGAAACTTAGAATTTGTCAATACGGTGGGAGCCATTGAAGATAAAAATCAGAATATAGAACGAGTTTAGTCAACTTATCACCGTACTTTCACCCGATGTCGAAAATTATTAATTGGGTGTCCACGGGAATGACATCAAAATTTGCATAATGGATTAGTGACTAAAATTTTGATGATACTTGTTAGAAATTCAGAACTTTTGCATGTATCATGGTCAAGGGTGTCATTAATAGGAAAAAAGAGAATCAATTGTATAGATTAATAGAAAAAGGAAAAACATTCAATATACATGCACATAGATTTTGGAACAATCGAGCCACTCAAAGCAAATTTTAAGACAACCATAAAGGAGTAGTATAGTTCATTTCTAGCATTGGTAATATTATGAAAAGAGGATCATTTCATGTGCTACTAAATACTTGTTTTTTGAAAGACAAACCAACAAAATAGCATCTTTACCATGCCAAAACAAACCCAAACAAGTTATTTTAAACTCTTTTACTATATAGGTGAGGAAAGCAAAGTCATCACATATATCAAAAGGAAAAAGCAAAAAGAATGTTTAGAAGGCCTATCCGATTGCGCTACATTTAAGTGATATAGTTAAATCCTTCCATCACTCGTCATATGTTCAAGATATTTAAATTTAGTATACCAAGAAAAAAATGTATTTCATAAGTAAAAGTTGTATTTTTGTTGGTGACTTACTTTATATTTTGTTTGCGACGACCATCGCATGTCATAACCATCGTTAATCCGTGTGTCGCTTGCATGGTCAAGGCAAGATGGATTTTTCAAGCTTAGGCACAATCAAAGCTGGTGTTGAGGCAAAGGTAGTGATAAGAGTAGAAGAATCGATGCTACAAGAAAGTAAACAAAGAAAGTGATTTTGAAAAAATTTAGATTGATATATTACGTTGATATATGCAATGGGTATAAAAGCCGGATGCAAGCATCATGAAATGTAAATATTTTCTTAATCTTTTATCCATGGTTGTATGTAGAATATGAATTTCTTTTGAATATTAGAAGAATGATTTTTGATGTATTGGTATTCGTATTAAATGTTATTTAAGAAATCATATGAGACCTTTAGAAGACATTAATTTAAGATTGTATTAGGTGACATTTTACATTGATGCTCATACTTAACCCGGTTAAGGAAAATAAGTCCGGGATTTGGTTAAAATTATGGAAAATGTTTTGATTTATTTGTGATCTATGTAAAGACCTTAGTGACACCCCCGCTCTAGTCATATTTCTACTACCCAAGTAGGGTACTCGGACGAAACGCGTTACGATAACATACCCTAAACTCTAAGTAGTTCTCTTATGATATTTTTAAAACTTTAACAAGACATTACATATATAAATCCTTAAGATAAAATTTACATAACATAATTAAATACATTAATAAAACATTACGAGCAATATTTAATTTCTCACAAACTCCATACCCCAAATTTATAGACAAAATAAAAACTAATATATGGTGCCTCACATAAGCCGGTTAGGAGGAGCCAACCGCATCCGTACCAATTTGTCCTTTTTCTATCACGACATAAAAATAACAACAGGGTGAGCCGAAGCTCGGCAAGTGGGGTGATGCACGTGATATGCAATGTTGTTTTGACTTCTCACCATACTCATAAATTTTAATCTCGGGTACCTCGGGTATTAGCCAATCTACTCTATTTATCATCGAGTGGTTCGCAGATCATTTTCTCGCTACAACGGAATTATCCCTCGTTGTAACTATTGTTAGCGGGAATCCATCGTCTAACGGTGTAAGCACACAACTTGATTTCATCCGGATGATCCTCGGATCATCTTTTGCTATAACAAAATTATCTCTCGTTGTAACTATTATTAGCGAGAATCCTTCGTCTAATAGTGCGAGCACACGACTTACAATACTAGACTACTAATACCCATTTATTCCAGTTAGGTTATCAAACCTAGATGTATAAACCATTTCTCAATCAATTGACT